TTTGTGCGCTATTACGCCATGGTCACACTTGTCGAAGGACCTTGTCGTAGTGATCCAGTAGTTGAGACAGACAGGAGCGACCTGCTCTAAACCCATGTTGCCCTGGGTTGTGTAATTGATGGGTATCTAGATGGGTGGCGATCTTGCTTCTTAGGACCCTTTCAAAGATTTTTATGATATGGGATGTTAGTGCTATCGGTCTGTAGTTCTTTGCTATTGCTTTACTGCCCCCTTTGTGGAGTGGGGCTATGTCTGTTGTTTTTAGTAACTGTGGGACGACCCCCGTGTCCATGCTTCCTTCCCATAGGATGGTAAAAGCTCGTGATAGGGGCTTCTTGCAGTTCTCGATGAACACGGAGTTCCATGAGTCTGGCCCTGGGGCAGAGTGCATGGGCATGTCATTTATCGCCTGTTCGAAGCCATTTGGCGTCAGGATAATGTCAGATAAGCTTGTGTTAACCAAATTCTGTGGCTCTTTCATAAAAAATTCATTTTGATCTTCGACTCTCAGTCTGGTTAGCGGCTTGCTAAAAACTGAGTCATATTGGGACTTGAGTAGCTCACTCATTTCCTTGCTGTCATCTGTGTAGGACCCATCTTGTTTAAGTAGGGGCCCAATACTGGACGTTGTTCTCGACTTTGATTTGGCATAAGAAAAGAAATACTTAGGGTTTCTTTCGATTTCATTTATGGCTTTTAGTTCTTCCCGCGATTCCTGACTCCTATAAGATTCCTTTAGCTTAAGTTCGATGCTTGCTATTTCTCTGACCAGTGACTCCCTACGCATTTCAGATATGTTGGCCTCTTTTAGCCGCTCTGTTATTCTTTTCCGTTGTCTGTAAAGGGAGCGCCTGTCTCTTTCTATTTTACATCTACTCCTCCTTTTTCTTAAAGGAATAAGGCTTGAGCATACATCGAGTGCCACCGAGTTAATCTGTTCTAGGCATAAGTTGGGGTCTGTGTTGCTTAGTCTATCTTCCCAGCTTATATCGTTTAGGACTTGGTTTACTTGGTCCCACTTTATGTTCTTGTTATTGAAGTTGAATTAGGTGAAGGCTCCCTCGTGACTAATCTCATTTTGTCGGTCTGGGGCTCCACGCATACATGTCTGAATCTCAATTATGTTGTGATCTGAGTATATTGTTTTTGATATGGTGACATTTCGTATCAGATCATCATTGTTAGTGAAGATGAGGTCTAGTGTATTCTCCAGTCTAGTAGGCTCTATTATTTGCTGGTTTAAGTTGAATTTTGTGCAGAGATTTAAAAGCTCGTGTGTGTGTGAGTTCTTGTCAGAGCTGCCTCCTAGTGTTATCACTACAACAACATTATTTGCTATATTCCTCCATTTTAGGTGCCTCAAGTTGAAAGCCCCCAGGAGCAAGATGTTGGGGGCAGGAGCTGGAAGATTTTCCAGACAGTGGTCAATTTTTAACAGCTGTTCCTGGAATTGCTGGGATGTTGCATCCGGAGGCTTGTAGACTACCACAATGACTAGGTTTTCGTTCTCGATCTTTATTGCTAAAACTTCCACTACATCATTTGAGGCATTAATCAGTTCTGTGCAAATAAGTGACTGCGATATACAGGCCAAACCCCCCCCCCTTTTTTTTGTTGTTTTTGCCTGTTCACTCTATCGCATCTGTATAGGTTGTAACCTGGGATCCATATTTCATTGTCCAAGTGATCCTTTATGTGGGTCTCTGTGAAAGCTGCGAACATTGCATTTGCCTCTGCAAGCAGTCCACGGATGAAAGGTATTTTGTTGTTCGTTACTAGCTTTAGACCCTATATTTGCAAAGAAGAATGTCATCGGACTGGTGGTATTGGTGGTACTTGGGGGGACTTTTTTTTCCGGCACTAGTATCTGTATCTGTTGGTTTGAAATGGAGGCCATCGACTGTGGTTGCACTCCAGAAATGACTGGATTTGGCGTACGATTTCTACCATTTCCTGCCGGGTTTTTTTCCTTCCTGGCACTAAAAAACCTCTCCCTCTTGAGGGGCTGTGGCTACCTAGGTTTTCCCATGGCGTGGATGTTTTGTATCTTTTTGTCCCCTTTAGATGGTGTGCCTGGCAATTTAAGTTATAGCACAGTCTTTCCTGTACTGAAGAGGGACACATTTCAGGGTGAAAAAGCTTACAGGAAGGGAGTTTGCATTTTCCTGTTGTCATATGGGCACGGCATTTTCTAGGGTGGTCAAAGTTGCACGTCCCATCTGTTTCTCCAGATTTCCCATGCCTACAGATACCAAGTGCATAGTATGTGCACAGGCTTGGTTTCCGTTTGCCTTGAGTTTCTGTGACTGTATTCCCTGTTGGTGCATGTTTACCTGTCTCATTCCTATCCTTACTGTTGCTAACAATGGAACTCTCACCAGTTGTTTCTGGTAATATATCCTCACTATTGCTAGTGCAGTCCCCTTGTTTGCTATCTCCTGTGGTATTACTAGTTTGTAATATTGGTTTTATCTTGTCCTTGACTACACTTGTTTCTCCACTACAGCTCCTGTCTCCCTCGAGGCCATTTATATGCATTCCCTCATGCATACATTTACTGACTACCTGGACAGCACCTCCATCCTCACCATTAGTGTCTCCCAGGACAGCACCTCCAGCCTCACCATTACTGTCTACCAGTGCAGCACCTCCAGCCTTACAGTTTCTGACTACATGGCCAGCACCAAGGGCGATACCATCCAGCCCAGACTTTTTATTTTCCCATCTGTTATAGAATGCTTCCAGGTTTTCTATGAAAGCTGCTTTGATGTTATCCTCTCTTAAAACTAATGTGATTTTAGTCCACAGATTGATCTCCTTTGGGCATACCCAAAAACACTTCCCTGATTTAATACTGCTTGTAGATAGTTCTTGGATATCTGCACAAGGGGCGTGACACCAATTTTCACAAAAATGGCAAGTAATCCATGTGGAAGCCGGTTTGTTTGATGTACTGCAGACTACACACAGCTTCATAATGTGGTTTGAATGGTTGATTTACTGTAATTCTACTAGTAACCTCTTGAATATTCTACTAATAACCTCCTTAAAGTGAAGATCTGGTTATTTGTATTTCTACTTCTGACTGTACTTGTATATTTGGACAGCTTACCAGTGTACGTTTCAGTTTTATATTTATTATTTGTATTGATAAGGGTGCCTAAAACCCCGTCTGTTTACAGTCTGCTTTATTGTCCAACGAATCCGTTTGAAACCGGTCAAGGGTTCGGACCAGTCAAGGGTTCGGAACCAGTCAAGGGTTCGAAACCAGTCGGATCTGATCAGTGGGTCACTTATTTAAAACATATCTGGTCCGTGATTTGCGCTAACACATGAAGGAACTACTGGAAATTATTTAACTGAGTAATATGTGATTAGATTGATACAAAAGTATAACTTGCGTGTTGAAGAACAAGTGATTGCTGGCAGCTCCTACAATGTCTGGTCTAGTAGACTGGTCTAGTGTGGTGGTGTCTGGTCTAGTAGACTGGTCTAGTGTGGTGGTGTCTGGTCTAGTAGACTGGTCTAGTGTGGTGGTGTCTGGTGTAGTAGACTGGTCTAGTGTGGTGGTGTCTGGTCTAGTAGACTGGTCTAGTGTGGTGGTGTCTGGTCTAGTAGATTGGTCTAGTGTGGTGTTGTCTGGTCTAGTAGACTGGTCTAGTGTGGTGGTGTCTGGTCTAGTAGACTTGTCTAGTATGGTGGTGTCTGGTCTAGTAGACTGGTCAAGTATGGTGGTGTCTGGTCTAGTAGACTGGTCTAGTATGGTGGTGTCTGGTCTAGTAGACTTGGCTAGTATGGTGGTGTCTGGTCTAGTAGACTGGTTTAGTATGGTGGTGTCTGGTCTAGTAGACTGGTCTAGTATGGTGGTGTCTGGTCTAGTAGACTGGTCCAGTATGGTGGTGTCTGGTCTAGTAGACTTGTCTAGTATGGTGGTGTCTGGTCTAGTAGACTGGTCAAGTATGGTTGTGTCTGGTCTAGTAGACTGGTCAAGTATGGTGGTGTCTGGTCTAGTAGACTGGTCTAGTATGGTGGTGTCTGGTCTAGTAGACTGGTCCAGTATGGTGGTGTCTGGTCTAGTAAACTGGTCCAGTATGGTGGTGTCTAGTCTAGTAGACTTAGTGGTGTCGGGTCTAGTAGACTCGTCTAGTATGGTGGTGTCGAGTCTAGTAGACTGGTCTAGTATGTTACCATAAGGGGATGGTAGACGGGTCTAGTATGGTGTTGTCTGGTCTAGTAGACTGGTCTAGTATGGTGTTGTCTGGTTTAGTAGACTGGTCTAATATGGTGATGTCTGGTCTAGTAGACTGGTCTAGTATGGTGGTGTCTGGTCTAGTAGACTGGTCTAGTATGGTGGTGTCTGGTCTAGTAGGCTGTTCTAGTGTGGTGGTGTCTGGTCTAGTAGACTGGTCTAGTATGGTGTCTGGTCTAGTAGACTGGTCTAGTATGGTGTCGTCTGGTTTAGTAGACTGGTCTAATATGGTGATGTCTGGTCTAGTAGACTGGTCTAGTATGGTGGTGTCTGGTCTAGTAGACTGGTCTAGTATGGTGGTGTCTGGTCTAGTAGACTGGTCCAGTATGGTGGTGTTTGGTCTAGTAGACTGGTCTAGTAATGGTGGCGTCTGGTCTGGTAGACTGGTCCATAGTAGACTGGTCTAGTAATGGTGGTGTCTGGTCTAGTAGACTGGTCCAGTATGGTGGTGTTTGGTCTAGTAGACTGGTCTAGTAATGGTGGCGTCTGGTCTGGTAGACTGGTCCATAGTAGACTGGTCTAGTAATGGTGGTGTCTGGTCTAGTAGACTGGTCCAGTATGGTGGTGTTTGGTCTAGTAGACTGGTCTAGTAGACTGGTCCAGTATGGTGATGTCTGGTCTAGTAGACTGGTCCAGTATGGTGGTGTTTGGTCTGGTAGACTGGTCTAGTATGGTGGTGTCTGGTCTAGTACACTGGTCTAATAATGGTGATGCCTAGTACTTAGACAAGTGTAGGAGAGTTGAATCTTACTTTCAGGATGAAGGATGAGTTTTTCTAGTCCCAGGATGGGCGACTCAGCCAGCAGTGTCACCACCACCGCCGCGCATACTGACATCAACAACACTCCACACGTCTCCTCTATCTGTAGGAGCACCAGCAGGAGGTGGAGGAGATCAAAGAGGAGGAAGTTAAGGAGGATGAGGAGCTCAAGGAGGAGGAGGAGCTCAAGGAGGAGGAGGAGCTCAAGGAGGTGGAGGAGCTCAAGGAGGAGGAGGAGCTCAAGGAGGAGGAGAGCTCAAGGAGGTGGAGGAGCTCAAGGAGGAGGAGGAGCTCAAGGAGGAGGAGGAGCTCAAGGAGGAGGAGGAGCTCAAGGAGGTGGAGGAGCTCAAGGAGGTGGAGGAGCTCAAGGAGGAGGAGGAGCTCAAGGAGGAGGAGGAGCTCAAGGAGGTGGAGGAGCTCAAGGAGGAGGAGGAGCTCAAGGAGGATAAGGCCAAGGAGAATGAGGAAGAGCTCAAGGAGGAGGAGGAGGTACTCAAGGAGGGGGAGGAGGAGGAAGAAGAATATGAGGAGGAGGTGCTCAAGAAGGGGGAGGAGGAGGAAGAGGAATAGGAGGAGAATGAAGAGGAGGAATATTAGAAGACAATGTACCACAACAATAGCACTCATAAACACTGCAACACACTTGTCTTACCACACATTTGTCTTACCACACACTTGTCTTACCGCACATTTGTCTTACCACACATTTGTCTTACCACACACTTGTCTTACCACACATTTGTCTTACCACACACTTGTCTTACCGCACATTTGTCTTACCACACACTTGTCTTACCACATATTTGTCTTACCACACACTTGTCTTACCACACATTTGTCTTACCACACACTTGTCTTACCACACATTTGTCTTACCACACACTTGTCTTACCACACATTTGTCTTACCACACACTTGTCTTACCGCACATTTGTCTTACCACACATTTGTCTTACCACACACTTGTCTTACCACACACTTGTCTTACCACACACTTGTCTTAACACACACTTGTCTTAACACACACTTGTCTTACCACACACTTGTCTTATCACACACTTGTCTTAACACACACTTGTCTTAACACACACTTGTCTTAACACACACTTGTCTTAACACACACTTGTCTTACCACACACTTGTCTTACCACACACTTGTCTTACCACACACTTGTTTTACCACACACTTGTCTTACCACACACTTGTTTTACCACACACTTGTTTTACCACACACTTGTCTTACCACACACTTGTCTTAACACACACTTGTCTTACCACAACACTTGTCATTACCACACACTTGTCTTACCACACACTTGTCTTACCACACACTTGTCTTACCACACAACTTGTTTTACCACACACTTGTCTTAACCACACACTTGTCTTACACACACAACTTGTTTTTACCACACACTTGTCTTACCACACACTTGTTTTACCACACACATTGTCTTACCACACACTTGTCTTACCACACACTTGTCTTACCACACACTTGTCTTACCACACACTTGTCTTACCACACACTTGTCTTACCACACACTTGTCTTACCACACACTTGTTTTACCACACACTTGTCTTACCACACACTTGTCTTACCACACACTTGTCTTACCACACACACTTGTCTTACCACACACTTGTCTTACCACACACTTGTTTTACTACACACTTGTCTTACCACACACTTGTTTCACCACACACTTGTCTTACCACACACTTGTCTTACCACACACTTGTCTTACCACACACTTGTCTTACCACACACTTGTCTTACCACACACTTGTTTTACCACACACTTGTCTTACCACACACTTGTCTTACCACACACTTGTTTTACCACACACTTGTCTTACCACACACTTGTTTTACCACACACTTGTTTTACCACACACTTGTCTTACCACACACTTGTCTTAACACACACTTGTCTTACCACACACTTGTCTTACCACACACTTGTCTTACCACACACTTGTCTTGCCACACACTTGTTTTTACCACACACTTGTCTTACCACACACTTGTCTTAACCACACACTTGTTTTAACCACACACTTGTCTTACCACACACTAGTTTTACCACACACTTGTCTTACCACACACTTGTCTTACCACACACTTGTCTTACCACACACTTGTCTTACCACACACTTGTTTTACCACACACTTGTCTTACCACACACTTGTCTTACCACACACTTGTCTTACCATACACTTGTCTTACCACACACTTGTCTTACCACACACTTGTTTTACTACACACTTGTCTTACCACACACTTGTTTTACCACACACTTGTCTTACCACACACTTGTCTTACCACACACTTGTCTTACCACACACTTGTCTTACCACACACTTGTCTTACCACACACTTGTTTTACCACACACTTGTCGTACCCACACACTTGTCTTACCACACACTTGTCTTACCACACACTTGTCTTACCACACACTTGTCTTACCACACATTTGTCTTACCACACACTTGTCTTACCACACACTTGTCTTACCATACACTTGTCTTACCACACACTTGTCTTACCACACACTTGTTTTACTACACACTTGTCTTACCACACACTTGTTTTACCACACACTTGTCTTACCACACACTTGTCTTACCACACCTTGTCTACCACACACTGTCTTAACCACACACTTGTCTTACCACACACTTGTTTTACCACACACTTGTCTTACCACACACTTGTCTTACCACACACTTGTCTTACCACACACTTGTCTTACCACACATTTGTCTTACCACACACTTGTCTTACCACACACTTGTCTTTAACACACACTTGTCTTAACACACACTTGTCTTAACACACACTTGTCTTAACACACACTTGTCTTAACACACACTTGTCTTAACACACACTTGTCTTAACACACACTTTTCTTACCACACACTTGTTTTACCACACACTTGTCTTACCACACACTTGTCTTACCACACACTTATCTACCACACACTTGTCTTACCACACACTTGTTTTTACCACACACTGTCTTACCACACACTTGTTTTAACCACACACTTGTCTTACCACACACTTGTCTACCACACACTTTCTTAACACACACTTGTCTTACACACACTTGTCTTACCACACACATTGTCTTACCACACACTTGTCTTACCACACACTTGTCTTAACACACACTTGTCTTACCACACACTTGTTTATACCACACACTTGTCTTACCACACACTTGTCTTACCACAACACTTGTTTTACCACACACTTGTCTTACCACACACTTGTTTTACCACACACTTGTCTTACACACACACTTGTCTTTAACCACACACTTGTCTTACCACACACTTGTCTTATCACACACTTGTTTTACCACACACTTGTCTTACCACACACTTGTCTTACCACACACCTTGTTTTACCATCACACTTGTCTTACCACACACTTGTCTTACCACACACTTGTCTTACCATACACTTGTCTTACCACACACTTGTCTTACCACACACTTGTTTTACTACACACTTGTCTTACCACACACTTGTTTTACCACACACTTGTCTTACCACACACTTGTCTTACCACACACTTGTCTTACCACACACTTGTCTTACCACACACTTGTCTTACCACACACTTGTTTTACCACACACTTGTCGTACCACACACTTGTCTTACCACACACTTGTCTTACCACACACTTGTCTTACCACACACTTGTCTTACCACACATTTGTCTTACCACACACTTGTCTTACCACACACTTGTCTTAACACACACTTGTCTTAACACACACTTGTCTTAACACACACTTGTCTTACCACACACTTGTCTTACCACACACTTGTCTTACCACACACTTGTCTTACCACACATTTGTCTTAACCACACACTTGTCTTACCACACATTGTCTTACCATACACTTGTCTTACAACACACTTGTCTTACCACACACTTGTTTTTACCACACACTTGTCTTACCACACACTTGTTTTACCACACACTTGTCTTACCACACACTTGTCTTACCACACACTTGTCTTACCACACACTTGTCTTACCACACACTTGTCTTACCACACACTTGTTTTACCACACACTTGTCTTACCACACACTTGTCTTACCACACACTTGTCTTACCACACACTGTCTTACCACACATTTGTCTTACCACACACTTGTCTTAACCACACACTTGTCTTAACACACACTTGTCTTAACACACACTTGTCTTAACAACACACTTGTCTTAACACACACTTGTCTTAACCACACACTTGTCTTAACACACACTTGTCTTAACCACACACTTGTCTTACCACACACTTGTCTTACCACACACATTGTCTTACCACACACTTGTTTTACCACACACTTGTCTTACCACACACTTGTCTTACCACACACTTGTCTTACCACACACTTGTTTTAACTACACACTTGTCTTACCACACACTTGTCTTACCACACACTTGTCTTACCACACACTTGTCTTACCACACACTTGTCTTACCACACACACTTGTCTTACCACACACTTGTCTTAACACACACTTGTCTTAACACACACACTTGTCTTAACACACACTTGTCTTAACACACACTTGTCTTAACACACACTTTTCTACCACACACTTGTTTTAGCACACACTTGTTTTAACCACACACTTGTCTTACCAGACACTGTCTTAACCACACACTTGTCTTACCACACACTTGTCTTACCACACACACTTGTCTTACCACACACTTGTCTTACCACACACTTGTCTTACCACACACTTGTCTTAACCCACACACTTGTTTTACCACACACTTGTCTTACCACACACTTGTCTTACCACACACTTGTCTTACCACACACTTGTCTTACCACACACTTGTTTTACTACACACTTGTCTTACCACACACTTGTCTTACCACACACTTGTCTTACCACACACTTGTCTTACCACACATTTGTCTTACCACACACTTGTCTTACCACACACTTGTCTTAACACACACTTGTCTTAACACACACTTGTCTTAACACACACTTGTCTTAACACACACTTGTCTTAACACACACTTTTCTTACCACACACTTGTTTTACCACACACTTGTCTTACCACACATTTGTCTTACCACACACTTGTCTTACCACACATTTGTCTTACCACACACTTGTCTTACCACACACTTGTCTTAACACACACTTTTCTTAACACACACTTGTCTTAACACACACTTGTCTTAACACACACTTTT